GGAAGAAGGTTCCCTCCATGCCCACCCCACCCCCACCTCAGCTGGCTGTATTTTCAGCAGAGCAGGGCAGTCATTCATGGGTCTGTGGGGGTGAATCCACTGCTTACTGTGTAAAAGTTAACATGTCTGGCCTCCCTTAGTTGCCTCATCTACAATAGCACAGGGCTCTCTTAAGGACCAGGTGACAGTACATGTGAAGCACTTATACCTAGGACTGGCCAGGGCTGACAACTCAATAAGTCTTAGCTGCTCTTTTGGGCAGAGCTGGTCGCCCCTGTTCACAAATGTATCCTTAGTTCCCAGAACAGTGTCTGGCACATAATACTCAGAGGATTTGCTGAATGAATCAGTCACTAACCTCGGGTAAGTCCCACATGGTCTGAGCCTCATTTTTGTCATCTGCAGAAGGGAGATAATGGCTCCCAACCCACACTGTTTTGAAGAATCAAATAAGAGTTGATGTGCCTATTTCTCCAGTGACAATCCACGTGCCCTGACAAGTAATCTGGAGTCCTAAGATTCTGAAAAGCTAAACACACAGCACAGCTCCTCGGAGGTTTGACTTTGCAGGAATACTCAGGGAAAGAACAGTCTTGAATTTTTATACTCATAATAGGATCACTTAAAAATATGTATTAATGTGTAGCTTGCTCTTGCTGTATTTTTCCCTGCCCCCACTATAAGAAGGCATTCTTATGCCCTCGGCTCAGGAGTGTCTGTGCCGCTGGGTGAAAAGGCAGCTTGCTTTTGTTCTCAAAAGAGCTGAATGCAGAGGGTGCTTATGCTAACAGGGCCAGAGGGAGGCCAGGAGACAAGGCCCCGTGACATGGAAGACATTCTTCCCGGTGGGTAAGCAAGGTAAAGGGACAGAGGCGCACACAGAACAGCTGACACCAGGAGGGCCCCTAAGGCAGAAAATGCGAGATTCTGGGACCTTCAGATCGGCTCTGAGGGACAAGGAAGGGCCACAGTAACTGAGACTAAATTCTCCACCGGCCAGGCGGGTTAGACAGGCAGAGGTGAAGGCTGGTTTAGAAAAATGAACGTCATTTCTCACACACGAAGTTAGAGCAGCCAAACCCCTCCAATACATCGCCCCACAAAGCTAATTCAAACCCTTGCATGCAAAACACTGCTTTTCAACGTGTTTCTTTGCGTGTATGTGTGTGTACAAGGAAGAACACGTATAAGCCCAAAGACTCAAAAATTCATTTGCAGCGACTGACTGGAAAGTGTGCTTTGTGGTTCAAGGAAGCCAACAGTCTTAACTCCGACAGCCCATCAACAAGCCACCCCCAGGGGGACAGACGAAGTCATCACCAGCAGTGACAGACCGAGCGTAGCCACCCAGCTGGCCACTTAGGGATGTTTTGATGCCCACAAACTGTTGGGTTGTCGGAAAAGTCATGACGCATTTTTGCAATGAAAAAAATACATCATGACTTTTCCAACAACCCAATAGTTTGACGTGTATCCTCCCCATGTAAACCAGATCCTTTATGTAAATTTATGAAAAAGTATAGCGTTTCTGATAGAAGGCGGTCTCCACCATTTACCATCTTCACTAAAATTTCCTTTGGTGAGTATTTCCTGGAGGTGATAAAAGAGGCCAACCACAGACAGCCTTTCAATCTACCAGTAACACAAGTGCCCCTTGAAATGCACTTAGAATGGCCACTGGGGTCTGGAGGTGTCGTCCCTGTCACCGATGGGTAGCATTTGGGGGCACCTGTCCCCAATGATGAGCTTTTGACATTCAAACATACTGACAAAGTTTATAATACAATAAAAAATATTGTCATAATCTATACCTATGTAGTGACATGATTCTGGGCTCTGGGAAGACTTGACACCAGGACACAGAAGAGAAGCTGCCTGAACATTGAACCTGTTAAGTGGGGTGATGTTTAATCTCTTCTAATTTGGCTCAACTATCCCAAATGGGTAGATTCAATATAACATCTTGCCATTAACCTAGAAGTCTGAAAACTATTAATATGTTCTTCCTGATGGAACACTTAAAACAACATTTCAATGTGCAGAGTAAATACATATTAAGGACTAGAACACAAAATTTGTATGAACTTGAAAGAAAGTTCTTGCTACACATTCAGTCGTCCATGGCTGGTTACTTCCACTCAAGCGATCTTTGTTCACTCACTCACTTTTACAAGTACTTTAAAAAACACACTGAATGTGTAAATGAACTTCAAAAGTAAAAAAAAAGACATGTTCTGCAAGTTCAAGGTACTTTTATCACACAAAGGCAGTCCATTCCAAGGGACTCCTGGGAGAGACCTTGGGTTTTGGGTTCTTTCTGCTCCACAGGGTGGACTCTTATTTTGACAGTGCACCAGGGCTGGTATTTGGTGTTATACCCAGTAGCAGTAGGGCTGGTTGGTACAATATTGAAATATTTGCATGATGGCTGGTAAATAGCTGTCACCCCAAGTTCCTCCCACCCCTACCCCTGAGAGCCCCAGGACGTCCCCTGAGCCAGCAAGCCCCCCACTGGGGCTCCCAGCACCCACACCTTTACTCTCACTGCCCCGCGCCCCTGCCCTAGGTTAAGCACCATGGATACTCTCCACTGGCGTGCTTTCTTTCCTCCTCTCCCTGCATAGGCTCTGAAAGCCTCCTGCTCTCCCTTCATCTGGGGGAATAGCCTCTATTCTCCACTTTCTTATATCACAAAGATAATGGGGGAAGGACAGGAAGTAAAATGAATATTGAGACAAGAGAAGTTGAGATTTCTAACTACTGTGTTTCTCTCCAAGGGGTGAGGGGCGGGTGAGGAAGGAACAGGCTGTGATGACTGTCATGATTTGAATTTTACTTTCCTGCTGGCAACTCTGCCATCAAGTACAGTGGGGAATAGAGTACAGGAATGGCTCTCAGAGGTGGTTCCTGGGCCAGCAGCAGCCTCACCTGGGCATGGGTTAGGAAGGTGGGTTCTCGGGCCCTGCTCCAGACCTGCTAAATCAGAAACTCTGGGAAGGTGGGCCCAGCCAGCCTGTGTTTTAACAACCCAGGTGGTGAGGTGCACGTGAACATCCCAGAGCCACTGCATTCAGCGCTCCAACGTGCTGCACGTGAGCGTCAGCTGGGAGAGCTTTCCTAGCGCGAGGCAGCACTCCACGCCCATGAAATCAGGACCCTTGGGGTGGGAGTTAGGTATCAGTTCCGTTTCCAACTCTCTAGGTGACTGCAAGTTCAACCAAGTTTGAGAGCCGCTGCTTGAGGCTGTCACTGTGGGTTCAATGTAATCACCACTTGGGGGACCCAAGACATATGGTTTTAATTCTTGCTCGCAATCTCTTCAATGTGGGCACCCAGTTTGAGAGGTGGAGGCCAGGCTGGAGAGGGATCCCCACACACTCAAACCTTGTGGGGTTCAGCACCTCAGTGCCCGCCCGGCTCTTAGCAAGAAGAGCTTGTCCCCTCCGTGATTACCCGTCACTCCTCGCTTCTGTCCTTCACAGCGTTCAGCCCCGTGGACATTCATGTTTCTCTCTGCTTGTCGTCCACCTCCCCGGGTAGACCTGTCACCATGGGGCACAGGGCACCATCTTTTTGGCTCACCTTTGCTTCCAAGGCGCCCGGACACAGAAAGCGCTGAAATATCTGTCGGCTGACTGACTACATTTTGACATCACCACAATGATGTCAAAGGACAATGGAGGACCTTCCACAGCCACTGTGCTTCAGTGACTTGGCCACCAAAAACGACACAAGTGAAAGCATCCAAGGCGATGAACCCTGGATACAGAAAAGGCACGTATCAACCCCACCTTTTATGCAGCGGCTTTACAGAGTCAAAATTCTGAATTTGCACTTTTCTTTGAACAAGCAAGGTTAACTTCCTTTACAAGCTAACCCCTTCATGTTAATAAGCCTCTCTTTTTTTAAATATCCAAGTTCCTCCCGCTTTTAAAATCTCACAGCAGACAAGGTGATCTCTGTGGGGGAGACTCAAGCAACCTTGGCCTATTTTCTCTGAGTGCCATTTACAAAGCACAGTGAAAGGTTCTTCCCGGTGTGGCTCAAGTGATCCATCATTTGCATAAGTGAATAGAATTACCAGAGGGTCATATATCAGAAGCAGGTGGGCAGTGTCTCATTTGTTACCTGCCATCTTTTTCCTTAAAAATTCATTTTTCATTAAATCACTTAAACCCATAGAAGTTAATAAATTCACTCATGCGTTGCATCCAGGATTATTAGATCATAAAGTTCAGTAACTGCATGATTTGGCCTTAAAAGCGATAAGGAAAACATCGACAGTGATGAATATATAAAAATGGTAATGTATAGCTTGCTTAGCTGGGCTTTTCCTAGCACTTCGGCCCGCTTTACAGGAACGTAAGAATAGCTTACCCAAAATATCTCCTATAATGAGGTCAATGCATTTTACACCCACTGAAAAAACAAAATTCAACAACAACAACAAAACGCTTCATCCCTCACGAGAAATAAGCGTGAGCACAAACCAGGAACCTTCACCGGGAAGTCACTCCGCTCTTTTGGAAACTTCACGGCACCTTCTGTGCATTCTGTTCTATTTTTCACGTCATGAAGCCCTGTTTGATGTCCCTGTGTCACCTCAGGCTACTCAGCCTGGAGGCCATGGGACCCCCACAGCACTCACGCAACTTCCCCAGCAAGTCTGCTCTCTGAGGCCGTGAGGAGCACAACGTTTCTGTTTAAAAGACGCCAGAAAGACAAAGGAGAAAAGATACCTGTGCTCTAAGACCCTGGGGACAGCTGACGAGCTTCCACATTTAATTTCAGACGAGAACGCAAAGCATTATGGCTGTACCGCATGTAATCGCCTTTAGAGTTTAATAAATAAAAATAAGAAGAAACTGCATGAGAAGAAGCAATCACAGAGGTAAAAGCACCTTGAAAAACGAAATGGCGGAAAGAGGGAGAGGAAAGTGGTAGTCAGACTCAGCCAAGACCTTCCTTTACTTGTAAGAATCTTGTAAAAAATGTCCTACCTGTCTCGGTGCTGACGTCCGCCTCCGTTCTGGGGTGCAGAGAAGGCAGACTGGGTTCATCCTCTCCTCAGGTCCAGCTTCCCGAGGTCTCCACACCAGCGGCCCGCAGCTTTCTGAGAAGAGACCATGAGAAAATGGAGCCTGGAGAAGGTCTCCGCCCACCCGCAGGTGCTAACAATACACACACACACCTGAGTCTAAATGGGCCCATTCCCACCGCCGGAACGGCCCTGCCCTGAGGGAGGCCCTCCCAGCACAGCTGAGCCAGGTCGTCCACTCAGCGCTGCTTCAAGCAGCCCAGCTCTCCCTTCTGACTGCGGGGTCACCATCCCGCAGTGTCAAGGGAGACGGTGACACGCCCTCTCTCACTCACTATAATTCCTTGCTACTCAGAGTGGTCCTTGGACCAGCAACCCCCGCATCACCTGGGAACTTGTTGAAAATGCAGAGTCTCAGGCCACCCCACCTGCTGAGTCAGAACCTGCTTTGTCCCCAGATCCCTAGGTGACATTTTTTCCCATTTTTTTAAATTGTTTTAAAATATACATAACATAAAATTTACTACCTTAACCACTTTTAAGTGTACAGTGCTTTCATAGTGTGTGCAGCCATCACCACCACCCATCTCCACAGCTCTTTTCATCTTGCGAAACAGAAACTCCATGCCTATGAGACACCAGCTCCGCTAGCGTTTCTAATTGCCCCTATATTTACCATTACTGAGACCATTATTTCTTCAAAAGTCTGTGTGTTGCTGTCTAGATACTGGCCTTTCGGTTCACCCGGCAGGATTGTCCTGAGCATTTCTTACAAGACAGGCCGAGTGGTAATTAATTTCTCCCTCGCTTTTGAAGGACGGTTTTTGCTGTATGTAGGATTCTTAGTTGCCATTTGCTTTCTCTTCATACTTTAAATGCATCAGCCCACTGCCTCTGACCGCCAAAGTTTCTGAGGCGAGGTCTGCTTATTGAGGGTCCCTTGGATGTGAGGAGTTCTTTCGCTCACTGCTTTTGAGATTCTTTCTTTGTCTTTGGCATTTGAAAATTGGGTTATAATGTGTCTTGGTGTGGGTCTGTTTATATCCACCCTACTTGAGGCTCATGGAGCTTCTTGGATGTTTCCATTCGTATCTTTCATCACATTTTGGAAGTTTTCAACCATTATTTCTTCAAATAGCCTTTCTGCCCCCCCTTTTCTCTCTCTCCTCCTTCTGGGACTTCCACAGTGCACATGTCAGTCCACTTGCTGTTGTCCCACGGGTCCCTCAGGCTCTGTTCACTTTTCTTCAACTTTTTTCTTTCTGCCCCACAGATACAATAATTTCCATTGTTTTATCTTTAACTTTGTTGACTCTTTTTTCTGCCTGCTTGAATCTGCCTTGGAATCCCTCCAGTGAATTTTTAAATTTCAGTTATTGCATTTTTCATCTCCAGCTTCCCTTTTAGCTTTGAGGTTTTCTATTTCTTTATTGATATTTCCAGTTCTTCATGCATCGTTTTCTTGACTTTCTCTACATCTTCCTGTAGTTCCTTGAGTATCTTTAAGACAATTGTTTTAAAGTCTTCGTCTAAGATATCTGCCATCAGGTCTTTTTTCAGGGACAGTTTCTGTTGGTTTATTTGTTCCTTTAAATGGGCCACACATTCCTGACTCTTTCTGTGCCTTGTGATTTTATTTTTTTGTTGTTGAGCACTTGACATTTGAATCTAATAATACGGTAACTCTAGAAATCAGACTCTCCCTATTACCCAGGGTTTGTTGTGTTTCACTATTTTTGTTGTTGTTTGCTTGTTTTTGCATTATTGCAGGCTGCCTCTGTGCCAAGGATCAGCCTGAGGTGTAAGCTTAGGGACTTCACAGGTCTCTTCTGAGCCTTCCCCTGGGCGTGCACAGTCAGTTTCTAATATTCCCCATATATGCAGTTGTTTCGAATATCCCAGGCTTTCGTGTTTCACTCCCAAGAGGGAAAAAAGGGTAAAAACGAAGAGAGGGGGAAGTGTGCCATTTCTTTAAGTACCTGGAAGCCACTTCTGCCAGAAGGGGAGGAGCTTGCAGCAATGAGGACAAGTGCAACAGTAACGACTCCCCCCCTTCATCTGTACCTCTGTGATCAGAGGCAGTAATCAGATTCGCAATATCTGGAGGACAGGCTCCCTTTGGTCCCCTGCGGCTCCTGCAAGCTGTGTGCACATCACTTTCTTTCCAGGAACATGTGCACAGCTGCCTGCCGCGTGGTTGGGGGATAAGTAGCTGTGACTGTGCGAAGAGATGAAATTGACCAAACGTAAGCACAATGGTCCATCCAGGCCTTCCCCTGGGAGTTGTGAGCCTTCAGGAGACGCCCAAGTTCCAGAGCAGCTCCTCAGATGGAGTCCACCCCTGCAATTGTTGTCTAGATGAGGAGCCGGATTCCTGACACTTCCTGCTCTGCCGTCTTCCCAGAATCCTCTGTCTTTGGGTGATTTTTATGAACATTTGAATTTGAAAGGGCTGCTCTGAGTCACATTCGGCTCATAACTTGCTCCAGGCCCTTTTCTGAGAGCACTATCACCCTCTTTAGGCCTTGGCTGCAACCTGGCTTTCCTCTTGGTGATGCTAGTTTATAAATCCTCTCAAGTAAAGCCTGCCCATTGTCACCTGTCCTTGGATTTCAGGGACAAGAGACTGCTCTTTTATATTTTAGGCAAGGCCCTTCCATGCCAGGTACTATTAAGTGCTTGAATATCCATGACCTCATTGAAGCCTCACCAGAGGCAAAGGCGTGAGATACTGTTATTATCCCTAGTTGTAGAGGAGAAAACCAAGCTTTATAAAGTGTGGTCTCCTGAGTAAGATCACATGTCTAGGATCAGCTGGGACTTGAACTTCACTATGTCCACGTCCAGAGGCGGCACCGTTACTGCCGGCATCCCCTAGCCCCTTCCACATTAGAGTTTGCCAGCTCCCTGGCAACGACCCCATTGTCTTTGGAATAATCTCCGATTGCTGCCTGAGAGATTCCCACAAATGTTGCCGCTTACAGCATCACGCATTTATTGCCTCTCAGTTCTGTGGGTCAGAAGTGCCAGGCTGCTGCTCTGATGTCTCTGCTTGGGGTCTCCCAAGGATAAAATTACAGTCTCAGACAGACCGGAAGCTTTGGAGGACCGTCTGCTTCCAGGTTTCTTGAGGATACTGGCAGCTCTCAGTGTCATGCGGTTGTGGGATGGATGTCCCAATTTTCTCACTAGCCACTGGCCAGGGGTTGTTCTAGAGGCCTCCACAGTCCCTGGTCTGCGGCCGCCTCATCTTCAAAGTCCGCGATAACGTGTCAAGTCCTTCTCCCAGTCTGAGTTGCACTAACGTACCCTCCTACGTCATCTCTCCTATTTCCAACTGCAGAGAGTTCTCTGATGTCAAGGGCTCTTGTGATTAGGTTGGCCCCACCTGGAAAATCCAGGACAGTCCCTTTATGTTAAGGCCCTTAACCTTCATTTATGTGACATAGTCCCAGGTTTCAGGTGTTCGGCCATGGGCGTCTTTGGGGGAACCTTTCAGCTTACCATCCCTCCAAAGCTCACACCACTCAATTATATCAACCCTTTCTCTTCTTGTTATGTCATTAATATTTTCTACTCTTCTTACCGTCACTTAAATGTGTGGTGTCCGGCTCCGACAGTTTCCTACTGTCTCATTCCTGACATCACCCTGGGACACACCAGCAACCTCTTTCATGATCTTTCTCACAGCTAAGTAGTCTCGCCCACAGGGCACTTTTCATGGTCATGCGTTGCTGTGCTATTGCCAACACAGAACTGTCGTAAGGAGCAGAAAGTTGTCCCCAGATGCATATGGGGCTGAATTTTGACTGCCAAATTGCTGTATTTTTTTATTTGATAGTTTATGCAAAATGGATTAAAATCAAATTTAAGAAGCATGAACAATAACTGGTAATAGCAGATACGATTATACAGCATCCGTCAAAACATGCCAGTAAACTGGTTTTTAAAAAAATCAAGGGTAAACAATTTCATAGACGCAAATGTCAGAGCTCGGTAGAAAGAAATATGATTTTGGAATGAAACCTTTTAACAGTCCCGCGGAATGACAGGAATTGATTTTGGCATCAAAATTTGAATTCCCTTGCTGCTTTTAAAAACATATTAAGCAGGAGATCAGTACTAAATTTGGTTCCATCGATACGATTTGAGTGAGAGAGAGGATGATTTACATGCTATGTGAAACCCATTTTCTCCATTAGAGTGAGAGAGATGGGCCATCTTCTGGGTGAAGTCATGTGTGAGCTCACCAAGGAGGCGCCAAGGAGATGCTGCCTTGCAAACGCAGGCTAAGGATGATGCCGTTTTGCCCTGACGGGCTTGCTTTATGCATCAATGTACCCACTGCAGCCGCGAGAGGAGCCCAGGGGACACCGTCCCACTGCTTCTGGGTGGAACCGCCAGCCATGGTCCTTCCCACGTGACAAAGGGAGAAATGACATCTTTTAAAATGAGGTTTTAATAGATTACTTGTAAAACTGAAACATTCGGGCCTTGAGAAAAGATTTTGTTTTTTAATTGGGCTTGATTTTACTTCCCCGAGTCCAACCACACAGACCAAATAGTTCGTAAACTTGAAGCACATAAAATGGGGTTTTTGTTAAGAAGTCCCATAGCATAGAGTTTCTGATTCGGTAGGTTGGGAGTCATGGTCAAGAATCCAGAAGTTTCCTAAACGCCCCGCCTCCTCCTGGTCACGACCGTCATAAACGGGCCATGCTTTGAGTAACGCCATCTGGCGCTCCTTCTCCCAGCTGCTGTTTCGAGGTAAGGCGGAGGGAGAAGGTGAGAATAAGGGCGGGTGCAGGCAAATATGGGAAGGAAGGGGAAGGACTGCAACTTGAACTTGAAGAAACAAGGGCGCTCTGCTTTCCTGTCCCCACTCCTTCCCACCTCCCAGCACAGTTCGAGGCAGGTCGCCAACATCTCCCCTAAACGAGCTCCTGTCCGAATGGACACAAGAGCGGTTAACTGTCTCCTCAGTGTCCTCCTTGCCAAATGCTGCTGAGATACCAAAAGAAGAAGGCTATCGATTATATTCTCGGCAAAGGGTCATCCGAATCCTTTCCACAAGC